GTCCTGATGTTAATTTTAAGCACAACAAACAGCTTGTGAGTAATTCACTAATGTACATGTATTAAAACATGAGCAAACCTACAGTTTTTCATTTAAGGTGCAAAGCGTTTTGTGTGTGTAATTCAGCAGGCAGCATGTGCAAGCACTTTTTAAAAAAAATATGCATGAATATGCAGATCACATTCTGATATACTCTTCAAATTCATGGTTTGAGGACATAAAAAAAATGTACCACCTACAAAGTTATTGATTAAACATGAAATTGATTGTGTGTTTGGTTTTTCGTGTACATGAAGCCAGCAGTAACGCCTTCAAAAAGATATTTTTTTACACTGGGCTTTCTTTAGGCTCGGGCCAACGCTCAAAAATCCAATCTGAAAATAAGCAAGTATCTTTTCAAATAAGTGTATTTTCCCTTAATTTGAGAATCTAAATGACATGATTTGCCCATAGAATTAGTAATTGTTAAGTATTTTGCCAATTGTTTTTGTTAGTTTAAGCATAAATTATCCACTTGGCAAACTTACTTGTATTTAAATTTCTGCAGTGTACAATCCAAGGTAGGCTTGTCAGGCTCGGGCTCTGTGGGCTTTATGCCTGCCGGTTCAGGTTGGGTTTGGCTAGATTTACTGAGCCCTTTCATACTCTAATCAAATTGGCTTTATTTGCAAAATGTGTGTACAATTAGGAGAAAGCCTCCTCTTTTACATGTTTGTTGTGTATGTAGCTCCAATGTAGGGAGTCCATTTGCACCTTGCTTATGGCAAGTTGCAGATTGACTTGCCAGGGACTTTTTCCCAGTATTTCTCAGTCTTTATTTGATAAATATCAGACTTGTATTGTGATATATGTAATGATCCTGTCGACTTATTCCTCCGAGAAGGCTGGAGATCTGTGCCACAAACGGAAGTTTACCATGGGTTTCTTTGCTGTTTCTCTGACTAATGGTTTTCTGATTCACCCTATCAGTCTGGTGAACATTCATGCCTTTGAAGATTTGCAGTTGTGCCAATCTCGTTCCCTTGCAAAGATGAATTAAACAGTGCTTTATAAGATATTCAAAGCTTGTGTCATTGCGTAACTGTTTAAACATTGGTCTTGAGGATGCTATTTCATCACGAACACACACACACACATATTATATATATATATATATATATATATATATATATATATATATATATATATATATATATATATATAGATTCAAGCAGGGAATATAGTGTGCTGAATAAAAATGGATGCCACACTTAATGTTCCCTCCGCTTCATAGTTATGCACTACTTTGTGCTCTTTTTTTGCTTTTAATTTAATTATAAACTGTTTATGGCTGGCTTTTAATGTCTTCTGCACAGTCAGGTTCAGATATTTATTTCTGAAGTTTAATCTGAAGCCTTCAGGAATAGTGTGCAGCATGTGTTTGCTGCCGGATTAGAGTTTATGACGGTGTTAAACTGAGCATAGGAGCAGTTTAAATTATGTAGTAAGCAAAAATCCTCACAGGACAGCCAACCTCCATTGTCGTAGAGGATGTCTTGTAGACCAAATGTCCTTTTGCATCCAGCGATCCAAACACTGAGACCTATTTCTGTGTAGCACATATCCATTATTCCAGATAGGAGTTTGGTGGGGAGTAAATTGTGCTCGTGTATAACTTTCAAGCATTAAAACACTTTTTTGTGAAAGGAAGCTAGCTTCGTGGAGATAGCTTTTACTGTAGCCTCTCCAAACCCACCGCATTGTTGGTGACCCATTTCAAAGCGTTTACAACTAACAACTCAGAACGCATGAAAATTACACCGGTAAAATGTTTTCCAATATATGTTAGACATTGATGGAAAGTTTAGATTCTCCAAGTTCATTTTATGGACACAGCGAGCACAAAAGCACAATTAACACCGATATAGCAGCATCCAGAAGTTGTTTTATAAATCCAATCTTCAATTGTTTACATTCCATTCGTCCATAAAGGCCAACAGATTAGAAGTTATCCAGCATATTCATAATAAAAACATTGCATGATGACAAAATCGACACATAACATCCAGTTTTTGACATCAGAAAAGTTAGCTGGCCATAGTTAATTCTTAGCTTCTTGTTAATATTTACTTCCTATTACTTATTTCCTCAGTTGTTAGCCTGTGATGTTTGGTTTGTTTCTTTACATTGTCTTCTTACCAACAAGAGAAAAGTGTCTGCATATTTGTATGACTCTATTTGAAGTCTCACAAGCGCCCCTTGCCTTTTAGCAAATGACGCAAAGAGTAGAGCAATATTACGCCTCATAGAGTCCTGCTGTTATTGGTTAAAACCACGTGGGCTGTTTGGCTTTGTAGCCAATGGAATAAGGTTTCAAACAAGGGTAGACATGGCTGGGTTGCATAAAGCAGAGCCGTGTTACCGGCTATTGCCACAATCTGGCACATTTGGTGAGATTTGGAGAAGCTGGTGACACCAAAAGTTCAAAGCCTTACAGCTTTGGAACTGTTACAGCTAGAAGTCTGAAATTTTCTGCATTTGTGGTTGACATGATGTAGAACAAATGTAATACAAAGAGACGTATTCTCAAGCATATCTTTATTACTGCTGTTCAAAAAAGTCTTATTATTTTCGAGAAAAAGAAACAACTTTTAGTCATGTTTGAACTGACGCAGCTTGGGCTGTGTTTTACTCACCCAATTTGCTGACCATTTTGGTATGCAAAATAGGCGAGGATGTTAAATGAGGGGGATATTAACTTTTCAAATCAATTTCCGGTTCAGTGCAGGAGACCTCACAGCGGAGCTCTGCTGCCAGGATCCTGACAGTGCAGCTCTGGGTCCTGACAGTGCAGCTCTGGGTCCTGACAGTGCAGGTTTGCAGCCAGACTCCTCTCCTTTTTTTGTTAATCTTTGACAGAACTTTACTGGCAAAAATATTAACCTCCAAATAAACAAACAGTGTTTAAAAATCTCTAAAAACAGCAGTGAAGGATGAATTATGTAAAATAGCTCGACATTATCATATGAAATAAACTTAGAATTGCCTGAAAGTTTAAAATAAAACAATTTAACAAATAAGTTTTAAAAAAATTAACCCAAGTTCACCAACTTCCACGGTGCAAATCTGCTAAGGACAGTGACACCCTCCCCTGAACCTGACAATTACATTGATAATAAAAAGGTAAATGTGCTGCTAACGATCATTCAATGGGAAGAGGACTTAAATCCATACCCGCAATTACTTCTTTCATCTCTCGAAAAAAATCCCTCCAAATAATTGATATGAACATCTTTTTTTTTTCTTTCTTTTTTAGGAACTGCTTTAACTTATTCTCACAGCACATGATCTCTTTTCTTATTTACTCTTTTCTTTTCACAGAACACTCACTGTAGACACACGTCCTGTATTTCACCCAGTAATTTAAAGGTTATCTAAGTTGTCAGTAATCATTTAATATTGGCCTCTTTTTTTCTTTTGTAGCCAGTACTTCAGCTCCTCATCCTATGTGTTTGTGGCTTAGCAGAGATTTATTTTGTGAAGCGGCTGGATGTTATTTGACCTTACACAGATTTCCTCTGTAATTTTTTCTTTTTTTTTCTTAAGCATATCTGCCTTTTTCAGACTGGTGCTGCTAAAAAGAAATGTGTCAGCAGTCTAGAGATTATTCTTTTTTTCCCTAATCATCAGAAGAGCTCACCCAAGCTGGTATTTCTTTAGTCTGACAATGCAGCGCGTGGAGCAGAAGTCCCTTCTTTTCCTTCATTTAGATGCTTATTTTGATCTCCTTCACTCTCTTTCTGCAGGCATAATCAGTTCTATTAGCTGTCAGCTTAATGCTCTTTTGAGTTACACGATTATCCATTGCAAACGAAAACTGAATAGAGAGAAAGACCCAAAAGGTGGGTTAATTTCACATCCTTGTTCCATCAATGTAGATGACACCGACTCATTTTGATTTCCTCCATTGAAAATCTGGAGGCGCCTCAGTAATTCTTACTTTGCTTTCATCATTGTTTGTTTTCAGGCTAACTGTTGCTTAGTCCTCTCAAGTGATAGCACATACCGTAGTATCTGGAATGACCATGATGGATTCCTGGTATCAGTGGCAGTTATACAGTATGTGCAGGGCCTATAACTACAATTCCCCAGACATGCCTTGCTGCTGAGAGACATCTGAGCGAGGTGCACTCCATGGCTGGTAAAGAGCCACTGGACTATGTAATAATTCATAGGTCCAAAAACCCTCTGTATACTTACAATTTAATATTTATGACCTGGCAGAATGTACTTCCTCACTACAGAGGCCTTATGCCAGGTGATACAGTATATTCTTTTACAGTACATAATGGTATTGCATGCCTTATTTAAATTTGGTGAAACACTAAGAATTCGCAACCCATCAAATTGATGCTGCTGGCTTTGCTGTGTAGGATCCAGTTTCAATTTTTTTTTTTTTACTTCATTTTTTTGCCATTCTTTCTATCCAACATCATCTCATTACTTTGTTGATGAATGTTCCCACTGATACATTAATGTAATTTTAACTCTATGCTTTCATTTTATTCTAAATGTTATTTTATTTTAAGTTTTATTTTAATTGAAACATTTACCTATTATATTTTATCTCCACTCAATTTTTCTTTTTGTATTGTGTTTATGTGTTTTAGCTTTCAGTTTTTATCTTATGCTCTGGAACTGTGATTCCTGTACAGCAGCTTGGTCAACCCCTGTTGATTAAAAAGTGCTTTATAAATAAAGTTTGAGTTGAGCTGAGCTAATGCTTTATTTGGTCTGGCTATACTTTTTAGTTAAGGTTGTAAAATCTCAGAAACGATATTTTAGGATTGATAAACTCGTTGTCAGATTACTGTCTCCAATTGGGTAAAATAAATTAGACTTTTTTTATTCAGCAGATAATCTTTTAGTTCATTCTTATCTTATAAACCTTTCTATAACACTTGTGCTACTGTCAGTACTGACAGTACATTTTTGATTTATTTGAAAGAGGACATACTCACTGAGAGAAACGAGGCTTCCCCGCCGGGCTCATGCAGGTGCCACCATGCTTTCCCTGCTGCTGCAGACTAACCTCGCCGACACACCACTGTTACTTAAACCCCCTTTGACCCCACCTAAGAGAAAAAGGAGAAGTCAATTGAATTAGTTTCAGCCTTAAAGATATTTCTGTGAAAAAAATAAACACAATCACATAATGTATGAGTTAATTCTGCTACAGTAAATGCAGCTTCTTTTTGAACCAGCATTAGTCACTTCTTGCTCAGCAGAATTAGAATATTTAAAAAAGCAAAAGAAGAACTCAGTGAGTGGATTTCTAATAGAAGTTTTATGTTTTTGGCATCGATAAGCCTGATGAAAAAAAAAA